TAAAACCAAACATCCCCAAAGTAGCTGTAATAACCGGCGGTGCAAGTGGGATCGGCGCGGTGCGCCGCACGACTGTTTTCCAAGCATGGAGAAAAAGTAGTGGTAGCAGATGTTCAAGACAGCTTAGGAAACATTGTCTGCGAAGATATCAACGGAACTTTCGTCCACTGTGACGTACGTCACCAAAGAATCCGACGTAAAAAACGCCGTCGCCAGGTACGGCAAACTAGACATAATGTTCAACAACGCCGGAGCAGCACCCACCGACAAGAAGATCAGCATCCTCGAAAGCGAGCAGTCGGACTTCGAACACGTCAACCTCGTCGGCGCGTTTCTGGGCATCAAGCACGCCGCCGGAGAGATGATCTCCGACCGCCGCCGGGGGAGCATCATATCGACGGCGGGCGTTTCCTCATCCGTCGTGGGCGGGATGGGCCCGCACGCGTACACCAGCTCGAAGCACGGGCTGGTGGGCCTGACTAGGAACGCCGCCGTGGAACTGGGGCGGCACGGGATTCGCGTGAACTGTGTGTCGCCGTACGCCGTTCCGACGCCGATGGCGAGGAAATACTTGGCGGCGATGAGTACTTCCGTAGGGTTTACTCCAACCTGAAAGGAGAGGATATTCTCAGGGAGGATGACGTGGCGGAGGCGGCGCTGTACTTGGCCGGTGATGAATCAAAGTACGTGAACGTTTGTGGTTGATGGTGGGTTTTCCGTTTTGAATTATGGGTTTTCCATTTTTGCTGATCCTTAATTAATCCGCGTCATTTCGGATTATTTATTTTATTTCATTTATTTATTTTGTAATGAATAAATCAATAAATTAATTATGTGGGCTGCAAATTCAAGTATGCTACTGGTTAAGTGAAGTGTTTCATACTCTCCTTTATAACAGCCCAAAATAAATAAATGTAACCCCCAAAATTTTGGGCCCAAAAATGAATGGGCCTTTTTATTGAATTTAATTTAGTTCATAATGATAATTATAATGCAATTTAAATTATTATATTTTCTTCTTTTCTTGAACTATACATTGGAAAATATTATATATATATATATAAATACATATAGGTGCATCTTTCAATTGTCACTATTGGTTTCTATTTAATATAGGAGTTAATAACATAATTAGTTGATAAAATTTACTTTACTATATTCCAACTTTAAAAATCAAAGCTCGCAACTGAATATAATTATTCAATAAAATTAATTTTGTAAAAAAAATATCAATAAATTAAATATATATTTGAGATAAATCTAATTAATTCAAATTAATTAAAATATTTCGTGTTTTCTGTGAGCTATTGCTCGGTGAATCAAAAAACAATAAAATTATAACAATAATACAAAATAATAAAATAGTTAAATACCAAAGTTGTGAGAGAGAAAGTCCAGAGAGAATTCTCTCAGTAATCGTCCGCCATTACTGAATTTTGTTAAGATAAGCGGAAGCAAATTACCAAAATAACCTTTATTGTTTGCTTTCGTTTTCATCTCTCCTCGGAAAACAACACTTACCAGCGATTTTTCCTTCAAAATCACCAAACGGCGCAAAACTCGTCTTCAAATTTCTTGACTCCAACCATTTTCTTAGATGCTGTTCAAGTCAAACTTCATCCCTCATCTGTAAGTTCTTTCTTTCTAATTAATTTACTCGTAATTTCAATTTTTTTGAACCTGATTTTCTAAATTATGATGTAGAAAATCAACGAATAACTGAAGTATTGCATTCGAAGCTAGGTATTAATTGTTTTTTGGTTAATTTTGAGCTCAATTTTAGAGTTCACTCAAACCCTAATTTGGTGGCTTGAATTGAACGCCGAATTAGGGTTTTATGTTTCTATTTTCATTTAGTAGATAATGGGGGATAAGATAAGAATTGCAAGAAATAGGTCATTAGGGCAACAGATGAATCTAATTACTTGGATTTTTCGTTCAGTTAAACTTCCATTAATCAATTGATCATGTAGCGATTGTATTTTTCATGATTTTTGTTTCTCGTCGTTTTCGTTTAGGTTTAATCGAAGGATATAGAAGATATGTCGAGGCCTACGCTGCTTGTTTTTCTTTTGCTGGTATTGATTATCACGTCACAGTTCGAATGGAGGCAGCAGTTAGTGAGTGATGCTGAAACAACTCATACTCAGTCTCAGAAGCAGCTGCAAATATCACTAAGAGAAGAAAGCGTCAAAGAGAAGGTAAATGCATTCATCTTTCGGTTGATTATTCAGTAGCAAATTTTCGTTACATCTCGATTTCTATGTGAAAATTATTTTGTGTAAATAACTCAAGATTTTTTGCTTGTTTTTTTACATTGTACATGTGTTTCGACGAGATTAAACTTGAGAGATCTGTTTACTACCCAAAGCAACTTATTTTTGTCTACGTTTCTTGTTCAGTTATATGCAAATGTTTCTATTGAATGCTCGTGTACTTTATGTACTGTCTGAATTGGCAAACGATGTAGTGTTGTGTAGTTTAAGATTTGCGCTCAGATGTTGCGTATAGCAAAACTCTCGTACCAAGTTCATGGGGTTCTGATGCTACGCAGCCCAATAGGTAACCGTAATATATCTCGTTTCTTTAGTTGCTGCACTAGTTTTTTAATTTGTTGAATGTTCTTAAATACGAGATTTTTTTTTAAAGTTTTTTGGGTTTCTGTAAACTGACCTGTATCTTCGAATATTGCAACACCCGAAGATGGTATCAACAAAATTAGTCTTCAAATAATCCGAGATATTTAGTTCGTCATTGTCCTAATATCTCCTTTCATATTTAGTTCTACAGTAACACAGAACTTGTCTCTTTGACGTGCTATTGTTTTAGTAATAATAGTATATTTGGCTCCCGCGAAAACAAAATTGCAGTATACGCCACTGGATATGATATTGTGAAGTATCTGTCTATGTTTTATATTTTAACATTACGAAAGCAGAAATTTTGCATGTACTGCTAATCTTATATTTGTATATTTTACGTTGTTTATGTACAGATTATCTTATCGCAAGAAAAGAAGCTCCAGACATTGAACGAGCTTGTTCAGAGCCTTAAAGAACAACTGCAACAATGCCGGAGTAATAACGAGACATTAAACAGCACTCTCAGCTCTATGACTGGAAAGATTATCGAGCTTGAACAACTGCAGATTCTCGAAGACTGAAATTGTCGTCCCGTTGCTTATACTATTTGTGCTATATTTTTCCTATTTTTGTTATTTGGAATAATTTTCTGTAAAGTTTAGTTATTGTGCTACCAAAGAATTAGTGGTGCTATGTTGTCGAATTGCTGCTGCTGATACATATTATATATGACTTTAGTAAAATTTCACTGAATCTGAATCATTTGTGAGATTTACATGATTGGATACATATTTTTAATGGTAAGTTCCACTTTACCCCGTCGTACTCTGCCCGAGAATCACTGTACCCCCTTGTACTCTTAATTTCATCGATTTACCCCCTTGTACTTGTACAATTTTCTAATACAACCCTCTTCTTCAACTTTTGTCGATTTTGACTCTGATGTCGTTTGGTCAACTTTGTAAATTACAAAATTGCCATTGCCTATAACGCGTCGTTTCTTCTCCGTCAATATTGTCGTTTCTTCTTCTCCCACCACTTTACTTTCCACGATATCCCCAAATTGAAGTCCTAACTTAGCAAAAATCAAGACCCAAAAATTGATCGATTCCACCCAATGCAAAGAAAAAAATACGTAAATGTGTGAAACTTTATCTTTTCTATTATCGAGAGTCAAAATCGAAAAAAATCAATATTTACGTCAATATTTTGACTCTTGACCAAACGGCGTCAAAGTCAAAATTGAAAAAAGTTGACAGAGAGGGCTTTATTGGGAAATTGTACAAGTCAGGGGTAAATCGATGAAACTGAGAGTACGGGGGGTAAAGTGATTCTCGGGCAGAGTACGAGGGGGTAATGTGGAATTTACCCTATTTTTAATAATCTATTGAGATTTTGATTAGGGTAAATTACAACCACCCCACTCAGTTAAGGTTTATTTACAAAAAAACCCTGTTTTGTCGAAAATTACATACACCCTCTGCAATTTGTTGATTTCTTACATTATCACCCTTTTGTAGGGGGTGTATGTAAGATATTTACAAACTTCAGGGGGCTGAATATAATCTCTAAACAATAAAGGGGCTTTTCGTAAATAGAGTTTACCTCAGGGGAGGTAGTTGTAATTTACCCTTTTGATTAACTGGGTCGGGTCACTCGGTAATGAACCGATTCAATTGGATTGAACCCTCATTTTTAATCGATTGCTTAACGCTAATCCGCGATTGCTACTGATTCATTCAAGCTTTCAGCGACGGTGGGCAGCTATTTTACGGCGGCGCGTGGGAGCCGACGACATTGTCTGGCTAAGGTAGAAAATATTATCAAATATAGACGCTCTATACAGTGTACTGCTATCTTCTCTCTCAGCTGAGTTTTATAAAATTCTTGTTCAGGATATCCTATTTTCGCTGATTTTTTTTTTTTTTCTTTTTCTGTAAATCAGATTACAACATCTGGGTATGCTGAATTTATTCAAATCCCAGATTACTTCCCACAAAATCCAGTTATTGAAAAACACCCGAATATTTGGGTGTAGAAATTTAACTTCAGAATCAAACCAGAAGACCGAAAGCAATGTTGCAATCTTTTGGGATTTGGATAACAAGCCCCCAAAATCATTTCCACCGTACGATGCAGCAACGAAATTGAAGCTAGCCGCCCATAGATTCGGGTTTGTCAAATACATGATCGCTTACGCCAATCACCATGCATTCAGCTATGTTCCCCCTTCAATCAGGGCACAAAGAAGAGACACGAGAGCATCGAACGAGCTCGAAACCATGGGTGCAATCAAGCCCGACGAGCCCTACATATGCAGAGTTTGCGGGAGGAGATTCTACAGCAACGAGAGGCGAATCAATCATTTCAAGCAAATCCACGAACGAGAGCAAACGAAACGTTTGAACAAGATCGAGTCAGCTCGAGGAAAGAAAAGGGTGGATATGGTGGCGAAGTATTCGATGAAGATGGATAAGTATAAGTACGCTGCTAAGGATATTTTGATCCCTAAAGTAGGGTACGGTTTGGCGGACGAGTTGAAACGGGCTGGTTTTTGGGTTAGGATGGTTCCGGACAAGCCGCAGGCTGCTGACGTGGCGCTGAGGAATCAAATGGTGGATATGATGGACCGGAGAACGGTTGAGTGTTTGGTTCTTGTTTCGGATGATTCCGATTTTGTGGAGGTTTTGAAGGAGGCAAAATTGAGGTGTTTGAAAACAGTGGTTGTGGGTGATTGTAATGAAGGTGCTTTAAAAAGGACTGCTGATGCTGCATTTTCTTGGCAGGAGATTATGATGGGGAAGGCTAAAAAAGAAGCTGTATCGGTTGTTGGGAAATGGAAAGATAGAAATGTTTTGCAGAGATTGGAGTGGAATTTTGATCCCGAGACGGAGAAAAAATTGTACTGTGATGAAATTGATGGTGAAAAATCGGATCTTGAATTGTTTAGATCGGATGAATCTGGTTCTTTGTTGGAAGAGGAGGAGAATGATGGTAAGTGGTGGGAATTGGAGAAATGAGTAGATATGAAAAGATCTCGGAATGATTAACGAACGTACGAATATGCAATGGTGTGAGGGGTGACAAATCTTGGTCGTATTTTAGTCTGAACAAAGGAGACAACAAAGTGTTTTAAGTCGAAATGTGAGTAAATTTCGGTTTTCTCGAAAGAGTTAGTCTCAGTTGCATGTGGTTTAATGGAATGGGGCAGTGCTAATTATGTGTCGGTACATTTTCCTGTAGCTGAATAAGACGTTGGATTCACAGTCTCGCATAATGTCGTTGGAGCTAACTCGTCGCTATTCAATCTGATGTTTGTGCTGGTAGCTTTTTCCGGTGTAAGTTCAATTTCTTTGTTGCTTATATGTATGCATATATACATATACACACACGTTTATCCGTTTTTAGAAATTGGCATCAATATAATTATGTAGGATAAGATTTATCTACTATATGAATCCGAATAGACGAGACTTTACGTTTGCTGATGAATGCCGTTAGAAATCTACAGAGTACCACCCAACTTAATTAAGGCTTCCACTGTGTAGATTGAAGGAGTTATTTTTTTTTTTAAGATAGGCATTAATATTCGGCAACGGGAAAGATGCGAAATTGGTTGAAGTAAGTTCCATTTAAATTGTTCTGGCATCGGTAGTTGGTGTTTTCCTTTTCCTTCACTGTGTGTCTGTGTGGTTTTGATGGCCTACTTATAAATCTTGTTAGTACTGCTGAAGAACAGCAACCTTCATTATGATGTGAGTAGTGAGGGGAAAAATGGGAAGGAAAAACATTAGTAAGAGTGGTTGGTCATAAAAACACTGTAAGAATGTCTTTTCATGTGAAAATTTGTGGTCCTAAACACATATTAATGTCTACTTAGAACATCAACTGATCAGACATTCAAACTTTTTTGTTGCTCCTTATTAAATTAATTTATATATGTAATAACTTGGTACAATTTGAAATAAAAAATGCCCTCTTTAACTAATTTAACCCAAATTTAAAATAAATAAATAAACCCGGACCACAAATTTTCACATTAATGGGCAGTTGCCAATATTTAATGGGAATTAAATTGCTCATTAAATGTAAATATCATGTTAAACTAACAATGTCAACAATTGAATGAACACTTTTACTATGCCAGCAAATTTCTTGTGATTCTTCTTCCTACTACAGTCAATACCTTTTATTGCTCGAGATCCAAACACTGAAAATCTTTAACACAGTCATCTCATTTTCTTGTAGCTTCTGTAATTACACTATTTCTCTAGTTGGTACTCATAATTCAGTTCTTGGAATTAAATAACACCCCCTCGTCGTTTTACATCTCCGATATTTTTTCAGTTCTATATATAACCCGTTTTTAACAAGCATGAGAAGGTAACATCAGTGAAACAAAATAAAAAGTCGAGATTTTATACCAGTACTATATAGTTTCTTGTCTGCCTCTTAAAAGGTATGTAATCTTGTTTTCAATTTACTAGTTCGATTGAGTTCGTTTTTGTTATCGTAACACCAACTTTTTTTTTTTTTTTTTAATTTGCAGAAAATGAATTACAAGGATGAGAGCCCGAAACTTGAGTTGCAACTGAGGTTATCCCCACCGAGGGATCATCAGCGGCAAATGATTCAGTCGCCGGAGTATTCTTCGACGGAGATATCTCCGAGAAGCTCGTGTGTGTCGCGAGAAGCGAGCCCAGATGGGACCGTGTGCTTTGAGAGTGGTACCATGATACTTGTTGGGTGCCCTCGATGCCTGATGTATGTTATGTTATTCGAAGATGATCCGAAATGCCCCAAGTGTAAGAGCACCGTTTTGCTTGATTTCATGCACGATGAGACGATCAGAGGATTCAAGAAATGAAAACTGCATAATCTTGATTTATTTGATTTTTCCTTTGAATTCTTGGGTTTCTTTCACCAATTTTTTTTTATTTTTTTTTTTGCTTATTTAAATCCTTTTTGTGATTTCTTTGGTCTGATTTTCTGTTTGCTGTTGTGGGTTTTTGAGAGTTTTTATTTATTTATTTATTTTTATTTTTTTATTCAAGAGTTTGCCTTGATTGGTTGGTTTTGTATTGTATCTCAACCATGCCTTGAACCTAATCTGGAAAATTATCAATTGACAAACAAAAGCTAATGATAAATTATCAATGGGAAATTAATTATATTAATAATTAATAATCAATAAAGTATAAATTATTTTTGAAGCAATGGTACAAAGAACAAAATAAGAGTACACAACTCCAATGATAATAAACAATAAACACTGTTTTGAATCCCCTCGTCAAAAGTCGCTAGATCGAGCTTGTCACACGTGTTTAGCCAGTGTAGTTTATGCAATGTTGTCAAATCGAAAACCATGCATACAATTTGGACAAACTATTTCTGGTGAATCATCTTCGTTTTCATCTTCATCTTCGTCTTCATCTACATCTTCGCCTTCATCTACATCTTCAATTTCAATATTCTTATGTAACTCTAATTCAAACCCTTTTTTCCAATCGTTAACGAGCAAATCGCCTCCCAATACTTAATTACATGTTTGGGAGTTTTCGCCTTACACTCCAAGTGTATAAGCATCTTTACGTCGTCGTGAAGCTCTTTAATCTCTCCAACTGTCAAACCCTCCTTAAACAACGTAACGCCATACTTTCTACATCCAACGATCGATAATCTAGGCGATGTTGATTCAGTATAAGTAAATCAATTGGTTTCGCACGTCCTTTGTGGAACCGAATCTGTGCCCTAATTTTCGTCCGGTCGAATTCAAACCCTCTCTCTTTCTTCTCCAATTCATCGAACGCGGCATTGGCGCGTTGTCTCGCGGCGAGCGCAATCTGTTCGTCCTGAATAGCTCTTTCTTCCCTTCTCCATTTCGCCATTTCGAACGCGTCCATCCTCTCCCTCCGCCTCTTTTATGCTCTTTCCGACAAGCACTCGTTGTCGAGTACGTACGCGTCTTTCGGCGACGTCACCCTCGATCTTCGTCCGACACACGGATATTGCTTCGTTGATATTCGAATCATCAAAAGGGGGGTTTTCCGGAGCCTTATTAGCTAGTATTCCGCAATTTCTTCCTTCGACGGCTCGTCGGAACTCCGACTCCGGTCACTTTGGCCGTCGGATGACGTCATCGCCTCCCGGTTACGAATTCGGGGGTTTGTGAGAACCGATTCTCGTTTGATTTGCTTTGATTTTGATTTGCAATTTCTTTCCTTACTATGTATATATAATGTTCAAAAGTAATAAAGACCTAATCAAGTCAAAACCTTACATATATTAGGACTACTAAATATATTAAAAAAAGGAAAAAAAAAAACGAATTAAATAATAATTTAAACTGATTTTAATTCTTGATTATTTACTCTTATTAGGGTAATATCTTGATTCTTTACAACGTATTATAATAGAAGTAGAATTCTTTATTTAGTAATTACGTACATGTCTATATAAGCACACAAAGTGCTGCACATAAATTTTATGCATTGCATCTTCTTCTTTTTTTCTTTTCGTGTTCGATTTTTTTTGCGTAAAAGCACACGTCATCATCAATGGCAAATTATTTAACGACGTGCGTAACCATGTTCGCAAAATCAATCGACATGATTTCGGAGGACATGTACAATGATGAATTAATAATCGATGTCTCTGTTTGGACAGGCTTTCTCACGGCAAATTGTGTAGGAGAAGAAGAGATTCCGTCGCTAATCCATTGGGAAAGTCAAAGCAAGTCCCGATTCCGAAAGCCACTTCAAAAACTCTTCTCGGAAAACCAACCGGATACTTTTTTGTCGGAAATAATCCAAAGAATTGGAATCCCATTCACCCTCGAGAATATCCACTGGGGTTGTGACGGCTTTCCGGCGGACCCCACTTACGAAACCCTCGAAGAAATCATCACCCACCGATTATCGAAGATCGCCATAGACTGTGCCGCCGGTCGGAAAAGCCCACGCATGCAATTTTTCATCCGGAAGGCGAATAAGGTGTCGCCGGAGGAATATAAACAATTGCTACTTGATGAAAACGAAATAACAAGCAATCCCCTACAATTACGAAAACACCCTTTGCATGACTGGATAGTTGAGAATGAGAACAACGTGAAGTTTCGCATGGAATGGTGTTTGGGGTTTATACGCAAACTCGCGTTGGAATCGACGGAGGAGAATAAAATTTCGGGGTGAAATCGGTGATTATAAAAGAAGATGATAATCCATTCTTTGGATTATTAGACGAGGAAGAAATTATATGTTGTTCGGTATGCATTAAGGGTTTGAAGAAAGGGACGCAAGCTATACGATTGCCGTGCTTGCATATCTTCCACGGATTCTGTATTTTTCGGTGGCTCTCCGAAAATCCAACGTGCCCTATATGTCGATTCGAATTGTTCTCGCTCGGTGAAAAAGCCAGGATTTTACCTTCGCACGAGACATATATACAATAGATGTTATCGGGTAGTGGTCGAAAAATAATAAATCCCTATATGAAAATTAAATAGTATATTTTTTAGAAGTTATTTGATCTTTTTAAGAGATACAAGTTATTGTTTTTTTGGCCTTTTCTTTTCTTTTCAATGAAACCTAAATTGAATTTAACTATTTTGAAGATATACTACTATTTTGAAGATATACTGTAATTGTATATGGGATACTAAAAAAAAAGTAAAAAATCTCTGGACTTAATTTATTATGTCGTTGCAAACAAAAACCACTTCCGCGCGGCTTACAATTATTGAACGTGTTTAAAATAAAATTTAAAGAAAAAAGAAAATCGAAAAACAAAAAAACGGAAATTAATTGCACCCTCTAGCTATGTATGGATGTTATTTTGAAGCAGCCTGTTCTTCAGGCCCACAGTAAACAAGGAACAGAGGAAGCAATCGGAAAAATTGTCCCATCGGATGATACTTTTCTCTAGGGTCGATGGGGCCCACTTAAAGTCGTATGAGCTTGAAAATGACTTAAAACGACACGAAAATGTGGGACCTGGTCTAAATCATCAGGCAGCAATCTGACTAAATAGACTCTTGCGAATCTGCAATCATATACAAAATGTAACATTGTCAATAATATGACCCTTACACTAGTCGAACAGATTGAAATATAGCTAATTGGATCGATCAAACATGTTCGAGAATTTTCTCCCATGTAACTAACTCCCTTCGTCTTTTTTTCTTTTTCCTTTAAATAGCAATTTCCTTATGATATATCTATTTGGACATTGATTGATTGAGAATGTTGCATATAAAGAAAGTTGCAACAATTACAAAGAGTATGTTAATAATGAAAAGTTACGTTGAAAAGAGTTTACCTCTGGCAATTTTTTACGGAAGACAACATCAAGTCTAGCATCAAGAGTGTTCTCGAACACGATTTTCCCATCCCTCGAAGCCAACACCACACCACCAGAGCTAAGAAAACCAAGACAAGAGAAAACGTCAATATGTCGTAAAGCATTTAAGTAATCATCATTACTTTAGTTACTACAACTTCTTATCTATGGTAGCCGAATTTCATTACCAGAAACGGGCATGTTCGTTTTGATTCGAAGGAGCAGGTGGAAGGTGGACATTGTCGACTATGATCTCAGGTGCATGAACTTTTGCCTTGTCAGCATACTCACCCTTTGCCGAGTCCAATACAGACTCAACCAAGTGTAGATCCTCTTTACGACACCGCAATAACACCGATGGCTCTTTTAGCCTCAACAAACTCTACGTTGCAACAATGTATATACATTTTTTTAGCAACCCGAAATCGAAAAACATAAAGGCAACTAAATGTCGCCGAAAATTGATAAGTATCCTAATTGAATTGAAACTTTAAATTAATCACCCTCACCGGTTAATCATTTTTTCATCATGATACATACAAAATTATCAAACTTTAAATATGAAGCTATGGTTATTGATTAGAGAAGCAATGTTCCTAATCAAATTCGCACAATTTATCGGGATTCAGTTTTGTACCTGAACAACGAGATCCTTAAGCAGGCGTTTGTAGTTACGATGGTCTCCACTAATATTCAAAAGCTCCTTTGCTGCAGCTTCCTTCATGGAATTGACCAAATCGTCTTGAGCTTGAAGGACTTTGATTCGAGAAGCATTCAGTTGCATAGAGTACTCACTAAAACAAATAGAATTTCATCGAAATTTTAATCAGATGACAGCCAAAAAAATCGGATAGATCATACGATACACACTCAATAAGTCATAACACTAGCAAAAGTTAAAATTTATGAACAATGAGAAATTGGCAAGATGCATATAATAATGAGAACGAATTACGAGACATTTGCGAGATTCAATTTTAAATTTAGATCCCCACTTAAAATCGGGGAATTATGAAACCCATCGTCGCCTACAAATTACGGATTTTACCCACTTGGGATTAGGGATTCTAATCATATTATTGTCCATAATCAAGTTAATTTATGAAATGCTCAATATTTGGCTTCAATCGTTCACATAGTAGAAAACAGAGAAAAATAAATTTAACGAAATAAAAAAAAAACGATAAATTTTACATTTTTTTGCGGACTTCAACTTGTTTCTCTTTGCGCTCGTACTCTTGTCTGATCTTTTTCTTCTCAGCTTCCACCAATTGCAGCTTCTCGATATTGAATTCCTACAACAACAAAGAAAAATCGGATCAGCCCCAAAAAATTGCGAAAAAAAAAATTAGGGGAAAACGCCGATTAGGTAACAGGGAATTCGTACTTCTTCGGCGGAGACGGAGATCTCGTTGGCCTTTTCCTCAGCTTCTTGACGGATGAAGCGGACCATCTGCTGGATCTGCTTCGAAACGTCGGTGTCGTTCATCTTGGATTCGAATCGGGTTTCTGAAAAACGGGTTTGGGTTTTTTTTGTTCTTTCTTCCTGAAGAGAAGATCGATGATGAAATTGGAGAAGGCCGGGACTCGTGAGACAGATGGTTAACAGTTTTTGTCTTTTTTTTTCGTTTAAAT